TAAAAACAAATTAATTCCACTTGGTTTTGTGTATATGACAAGCTTTTATACTATAAACAAAAATCTTGGAAAAAAAATGAAAAGTTCAACTAAAAAAAATTAATACCATTTGCTTTTGTATTTCAGGTTATGTGTAGTCTGACCAAAATCTTTTAATTTATAACCAAAATCTAAGCCCACATTAAGTCCATAAAAAAGGTTTAAGCCCAAATAATAGATAAAAGAAATTGCAACCTAATCCCTCTTGAATGAAACGCATGCAGTAATGAGTCCATACATTATCAATTGTCGTCATCTTCATCTCCAACCACCACTTCTCCATTTCCGACCACCACTTCTTTCCCCGACGAAATTGAATCTGCAAATTCCTCCGCTTAGCCACATTCCAGTCAACCGATTACCACTCCGAAGATGTCTTCAACAAGTAGTTTCATTCAAGCTCTCGATCTGATCTGATAATACCAGGTACTTCATTGGAGATTTGCAGAAAGAAAAGGAAGATTGGACTAAAGATCCAAGATAAAACAGCTATTAAGGAATTTGTAAATTGGCTCTGAAATGAATTTTCTTCAAAATTATTCTACGAATTTGTGAAATTGAATCTGCAAATTCGTTGATATCAGATCAGATCGAGAATAATTTGTGAACAAATAGAGTCAATTAATGTCGTTGAATCTGCAAATTCGATGAATAATTTGTGAAATTGAATCTGCAAATTCGTTGGTATGAATCGATACAACAACTCTCAAGGCATGTCGTTGTGAGCCAATTCACAAATTCGTAGAAATGTCACATTCGAAAGCAGGTCAATGAAACGAGATCTGGTAGCAAATGGCGGCCGGTGAAACGAGATCGGAAACCATTTCGTCGGAGAGAAGATACGTCTGACCATCCAATTCAGCGAACAATATAAATAGATAGTTCGAATCACAAGTTAACAGACCATAATTCACGAGAAGTGAAGAGTCATTACCGGTTAAAACAAGGTCATACGAAGCTTGATCGATCTGGAAAAGCTCTAGAGAACCGATCATCAAAGGATCTGTAGGAATTTTGCAAAAACATGCACCGGTTAAAATCTGTACGCAGATTCAGAAAGAGTGAAGAAGTGGCCATCTAGTGGTTCCGGCGACTTTGTAGTGGTTCACACGGTGTTACGGTGGTTCCGGCGGCGGTTTGGTGGTTTAAGAGGCGGTCTGGTGATAATGACGATGGTCCGATTTACCTTCAAGATGAGAGAGGGGAGGAGAGAGAAAGTATATGAGAGAGAGAGAGAAAGAGAGAGAGAGAGAGAGTGTGTGTGTGTGTGAATGACGTATTATGTATAATTTTTTAGATTTTAAACATTTAAAATTAATGGTCTAAACTTGTGGTTGGAAAACAAACGGGCTTGTTTTTGGAACTCATAGGCTAAAAAATGTTCTCAAATATTCTCATTTGAACATATATATATATATATATATATATATATATATATATATATATATATATATATATATATGGGGATAGTGAATATGAGGCTGTTATATACCTAACCTTAGGTATAGAACCTATCAAAACTACGTCATTTTATTGCTTTTTAGCTTAATTTTTCTTTTTCTTCTAAAAATTCATATAATCAGACTTCATCTTCTCTGCGTATTAGCTTTTTTATTTGACAAAATCAATTTCTCAAAATCATAATCATCGGATTTCATACATCTCATGCATTCGATTTTTTTTATTTATTTGACATCAGTACATCACTTTATAATTGTCGATGTATCCCTACAAAGTAAAATCCAATTACAATATATATGTTTAGGAATTAAATCACCAAAAAATGTGAATGGTATTCACACAAACATGAAATCGTATAAGACGTGGTAAATGTCAATTATTTAGTGTATATTAAATTCAATTAGAATCCATGTCTTCTTTGAAGTAACATACAAACACGTGTTCTGTTCTGTTACAACCACTTATTTTGTTATTTATAAGTAAAAGTGATGATCGGAAACAACGAATTTCCAGAATTATTGGCAAGAAATTTAAAGTGCGGGAGAAGAAAAATATAATCAAAGATGATAATAAGGAAAGTAGATTAAAGATTTTGAATTGGTATGTGGGGAAGAGCTTTTGATACTAAAAATAAAAATAAGGAAATCAAAATATTAATTTATTATGATTTATACCAAAACTACGTAGTTTTGCTTGGTTCCACACTAAGCTTACGTATATAACAGCCTTATATTCACTTATATATATATATATATATATATATATATATATATATATATATATATATATATATATATATACAAGTAGGTTCATGCGAAAACATAAATATCCTGCGAAAACGCGAAAACAGATTTTATCTTATAAAAATCAAACACAAGTACTATAAAAATTAAATTTATTAGCAATAAATTAAAGATAATAAGTTTACATTGGATTGTGTTATGATACTATAGATTTAAAGACGATTTTATCAACTATTCTTTTTTCACGTTCTTGACCACTTTTAAATTCATGTTTTCATAATAAAAATGTCAAAAATCATATTTTGCTAATATGAAATAATTTATCATGTATAATCGATTATCATCATGTAGTTCAAAGTTTGGATGGATTATTGTCCAAAATATAAGGTTGATGTGGCACAATCTCATGGTTTTTTCTTGTTTTCACGTTTTCGCAAATTATTTGCATTTTCGCATGAACCCTCCCCTATATATATATATTATATATATATATATATATATATATATATATATATATATATATATATATATATATATATATATATATATATATATATATATATATTCCCTATAAATAAATTTAAGTGAATCATATGTACACATACACACATCTTGTATGATTTTTGTAGTACAATAATAAAAACTGAAATAAAAATTAGTTTAGTTTTTTATAACCAAATCACCATTGTTGGAACCGAATCCATCGAATTATAATGGTCATAAGATTAAGATCTAAAGAACCATTATACATATAAAGTTTTGATAAATAGTTAGTTTTAGAAAACCTTATTTCTTACCTTTTTTTAAGTGGGAAAAGCCCTCCTATTTTGTTTTCCACCGGGCGATTTCAAGTCAAAATCCTATTTTTGAACATTCTTAACAAGTTTGTTCTATATCAACAGGGATAATGACTTAAAAGGGTAACATATTTTTCAGTTTGTACACATTTAGTCACTGATGTTTTTTTTGTCCATATTTTCCCATTGAACTTGTTCAGCTGTTCAAATAACATCCTTATGACTTGCTATCGGAGGTTAAACCGGTTTCCGACATATTTGCTACCTCTGGCGACACTTCGATCGTCTTCTCCGGTGAGTCTCCAACCATAAATCTAAAATAATTTATTTTTTATTTTTTGATCAATAACACACACAATACTTCATCTCCAAACCAGAAATCTAAACCAAACATAAACTCGAGAACATAAATCGAAAAATCTGATGAAGAACATGAAGAAAAACCCAGAAATCAAAGTTGTGTTCTTGAACAGAAATGGAAAATCGAAGTTAATGAAGAACACAAACTCAAGAACATGAACTTCGGTGTCTTCATATCGTGATTCAGCTTAAAGATCAAACACCTTACACTTAAATATCATTTTTAGAGAGAGAAATAATGATATATGTTCTTGAGTTTGAATAGAATAAGTATCAGATGAACACATACACAATGATCTTCAAGGTTTGTAGATCTTCATCGTCTTTATCTTCTTCCCAAATCTGATGTTCGATCATCTTCTTCTTTCCAGAAACAATTTCCAAGCACATAGAAGAAATCGATTTTATGTGAGTTGGTTCAAAGGATAATACATCGACGAACTTGTACATTGTGCTGCATTGTTTGTACTTTGTTGACTTCCAAGAACAAAGAAGATGAACACGATGAAACAAAGATCTAGAACAACACTCCGATGATTTTTGGGTTTGAAAACTCTAACTCGAGTTCATCTTAAAGTTCATCAGACCTTCAAGAACAAAAACAAAAAAGATTTATGTCGGTTTTTAGATCTGATGAAGAACAAGAACACAAATATGATGAAGAACACGAACACAAACCCAAAAGTCATCTTCATCTGTTCAAGAACATACCAACACTCATAATTCTCGATTTCTTATATAAACTTGATTTCAGATTCGAGTTCAGTGTGTTCTTGAACAAAAATGGAAACATGATTTTCGAGCTTCAAACTTTTCACATGAACACTTCTAGATTCGAGTTCAGTGTGTTCTTGAATAAAAATGGAAACTTGATTTCAAACTATAACTCAAAAACATAACTTCGGTTGAAGATCTTTTGATTTCTAGGAAGAAGATGAACACACACACATCGATGAACTCGTTTTTTCTGATCTATTTGTTCTTGAAGATGCTCAGATTTGGGTTGAAGTGGTTGAAGGATTTATGGGTTTATGATTTTTGGGTCGAAGGGTTTGAAGGGATGAACATGATTGTGTGTGTGTTTTCATATCTAAAAAACCCACACATACACACTGATTGAATGGTTGGAGAATTTTTGTTCAGATCTAACAAACACACACTCACACGCAAATCTGGAAACATTTTTGATGAACTCACTTTTCAGATCTAGTTGTTCTTGAAGATGTTCAATTTGGGTTGAAGGGGTTGAAGAATTTCTTGAGGAAAACACATGAATCTAGGTGTTTTTTGTTTATGTATGTGTGTTTTTGGTGTTTTTGGTCGGAGACTCGCCGGAAAAGTGATCGGAGTCTCACCGGAGCTCACAAGAACGCCGGAAACCGGCTAAACCTCCGATAGTAGGTCATAAGAATGTTTTTTGAACAATTTAACAAGTTCAATGGAAAAATTTGGACAAAAAAAAGTCAATGACTAAATGTGTACAAACCTAAAAATATGTTACCCTTTTAAGTCATTATCCCATATCAATATTAGAAATTCATTTCCTTTTTTAATTTCTCGGAAAAAAAATATAACAAAGTTTATCATTTTCTTGAATGACGATGCCTTGTTTGTGAGTTGTGACTCCTAATCAACAATATAAAGTACTACCTTGACCTTGTACATGATTCTAATATTGTCATCGCACATCAAATTCCTGTAAAATATCTTGTTTGTGATTCCCAGAACTCTTTAGTTTGCTTACCATCTTCATCGCGTTCTTCAACAAGTCTTTCCTCCCATTCTTTTCTAAACCTGCAAATGCCACATTAATGCTCAGTAAAATTCCTTTAAAATGTCAAGAATTTATTGCAATAAAACACGCTACTTGTTTACCTTCGTTTTAGAAGTAAATCTAGTTCAGTCATGCGTACTGCATTACCAAATACTCCATCCTCTCTGCAAACTGGACATTTCATCTTTGGGCTTGCAGATTTCACCCCTTCAAACATCAAAACAGAGCCTGATGAACAAGCACACATCTTGCAAAAGATATGTCCACAGCTCAATGCGTATGGATGAAAAACAGTATGCTGAGGATCAAGAGTAAAAGCATTTTACAATTTATGTAATCTTAAGCTATGAATTTTTCATAAATTCGATATATAGTCAGTCATACCAAGCAAACAGCACAAGTTAGATTGTATTCCAGAACTGCATAATCTGGAAGCACCAATTTCAGTACAGGTTCTGAATCTGTAACGCTGAGATCACAAGAGAAAGAACTGCAAAGCTCATAGCAGATCATTTCATTTGATTCACTGAAATTCATATAAAAAGCCACCAGTTCAATCAACCATGGTGATTGTGAGATCTCCAAGTGTTCAGCCTGCAGCTTAGACCTGAAGTTCATGCCACTTACAGAGTTGTGCACCTGAAAAACAAACAGAAATCATAATCGCTATACATCAATCCGAAAAGAAAAGAAAAAACAGCAATCTAAAGAAAGAATATGATATTTGCTTACTTTGTCGTATTTCTTAAGAATTTTCCTAAGAGCTATAGCATTCATGATAACATACTCGATTAACATCTGCCCTTCCAGCACGAGTGCTTGTTGATCATTTTTGAAACATTGAAACAAGTGTAGTAAGTATCTCTGCATACCAGTATTGCAATGAAGCTGGACAAGATGTCTGACTCTAGAACTAATACACCCGGTTATATCAGAAGCTTCTTTCATTATCTCGCTGAAGAACATTCCATCACACCCTACATTCATAAACAAATCATGAATAAAAACATCACGATTGTATACAATACGTAAGACACGTATTCAGGATCTGTTCTTAAAATTTACGTAATGTCAAAATTGGTAGTTCATAAGAGTCTGCAAGTGTAAAGAGCAGGATTACTAATTATAAACAATACAGACAAATGCATTAAGAATCGCGGAATCAGACTTTGATACTAAGGATGGAACTTCCCACCACCAACAGTAAGAAGTACTCTCATCCAAACTAGTTACAGTAGCTTCAATTCTTTGGCAAAGGGGCTATAAACTGGACTCATTTCGACTCTCGTCATGGCTTCAATCTGGTTCTCTGATCTAATGAACCACGGGCCCTTCGGGAAACGTGAAAACTACTAAAAATTAAAAAAACGATAAATTTTGGAACGCTAGCGCATTATATGACCGAATTGATTGTGATGTGACAGTGTTTGATTAACGAAAGAAGACAAACAGGTGAGGGGTGGGGAATAAGACAGAAGAAAGCGTACATTGGCAGGATCGATAGCGACAGATATCAGAAACTGTATTGTTCTGATCACGATCTTCTTCAATAACTCGAAACTCGTCGCCACAGCTGGCGCCATTATTAGCGTCATGACAATGATGCCTACAAACTTTGAGGACCTTCTTGAGCCTCTTGTACTCGACATGAGAGCATTTGTTGAGATCAAAGGAGCTCATTTTTTCTCCTAGCAAATACTCCGTAAATATGGCTCCAAACTTCATTTTCGTAACAAGCTGATGGTTAATTACATGGATTTAGCGGCAGAATATTAGAGCTTGATCATCAATGGGGCGGTGGAAACCCTAGCGACGAGAACTAGAATGGAAAAGCATGTCTTTAATGGTACGGCTCCATGCAGTACACGTGTCGTAAGGAATCGTGTACTTTCTCCTTTCTCTTTACGCGGTGGTGTATTTGACTTTTTTTCATGTATATCTTTCGATTTGCTGGAATTTGGAAGTAGGGCTGGCCTAAGCCTTACCCCATGGCCCGTTGGCATAAACTAGGCCCAGTTATTATTTGGGTTTTGGGCTAGAACGGGCTAATAACGGTTTTGGATCGATCTCACAACGATACGGTTCGGTCAGACAGGCCTCAGCGGTCTCAACCATTTTTTTTCTCGGTTTGATTTGGATCAGTTTCATTCTAAGCTGGTTCGATCTCATGATTTTTTTCCTTTACTTTTTTGACATGGGATTAAATAAAATGTAGGCTCGGTTTCAATGAGTGAACCATACTTTAAATAGTAAAAGTTATAGAAAAAAACCAATAAACAAAATATTTACCCATACGACTATATGACTATATGAGAGTTTTAATTTACTTTTTTTATGACCGATTCTCTACGATATAACTTTAAATAGTAAAAGTTATAAAAAGAACCTATAAACAAAAATATTCACCCATTTTCATATGAGTATAAGATAGTTTTAATTTATTATTTTTTTTCATAACTATTTCTCTATGACATGAATGCTTTAATGTCTAGAAAATAACATTCTATTTATTTAAAGATGTTTTGACATCTCCTATAGCACATACCACAATATTATCTTTTATTGGTTATTCGACAAGAAAAAATTTCATGGATCAGGTGTAGTTGCCACCCGTTTTAAGATGGATGGTTGCATGCACATGATCCGACATCGACTGAGATGTGTAACTAATAAGGGGTATGGATATTTTCTGTCACAATGCGTTTTAAAGTCGTAAGAGTCATGCAGTTAAGTATTTCTAGGTGGGGGATGGGTGGCCTTTATAGGAAGAGGCCGTTGTGTTGGTTTTGAAGGGTATGTGTGAATAATAAAAAATAGCCCCCTAAATACATATTTTTTTATATATAAAAACAAAATTCATTAGCGACGGAACCGTGATAGAAGCCACATGTTTTTGACATATTAACGACGGATTAACATTGAATTAGCAACATAATTTTATAAAACATATGAAAAATTAGCCTCATTTAATGATACGGGTCATGCGTCAAGGCACGCTTGGGTATTTGTAATATGAGATGTTACAAATATTATCAGAGCTAGGGCATGGGTTAATGTGTTTGATAGGGACGTCAAACCTTATAATATTGGGGAGAACAGACATAGACCAGTAACCTACATCGACCGCGACTGAGAACTAAGCATCACCTTATATGAGGTGTGAATATCATTCCCTATCACAATGTGTTTTAAAGTCATGAAAGCAACATATCTCATAAGAACTATATACTTAAGTGTACCCAAGTCAAATATCGCTTAATCCTAACTTTACTATTAATCCAATTAAAACATGTCATTTAAACCTCATTTAAGATGGAATTATAATTCATAACTTTGCCATTAATATGTTGTTCCTTTAGGTAGCGTTTGGTGAGCACAACTAGACGGAATAGAACAAAACAAACTACTTTTTAGAGGCGTTTGGGATGCATGAGACGAGAACAATGATGATATTTGACCAAGTCTAATGAGACTAATAGTTAAACTTTTAGTTCCACCCAAATAGATGGAACACACATGGACAACGAAAAATGACGAAGAAAACAACGCCTCCTTTCAACAATCCACCCCTCCCCTTTCACCTTCCACGATAACCTCATCTCTTTTGTGATGAAGCCTTGTCACCCTTCCCCGATGAGACTAACACCGTCACTGTCGTTTGCGACCCTCCTTCTCCATCTGCACCACAATGAAGTCCTTTCAAAATGTGCTCTTGGAAAAGACGAGCTACTTATCATGAATCTAAAGTCTAGTTACCCTTTTTTGGGAGGAGAAATAACAACGATGATTGCCGGTCTCCAACAAAATCCATCTTTAATTACTAGTAATACTAGAAGGCGAAGTCGTGATCGTGAATCACAACGTTTTTCTCATTTTCTATACCTGTAGTGATCCCCTTCAAGCATAGTTTTTTTATGGTTGTACACAAGATGAAGGAGAAGGATGTAGATGACGAATTAGCAAGGATTCATGTGAAGCTATGCTTAATGGAGTTTTTAGTTTTTAAACGAAAAAATAAATGAATTTGAAAAGGTGAAGATTAAAGTAAATGTTGAGTCGGTAAGAGAAAAACAAAAACAATAAAGATGGTTATGTCCACTTGTCACCAACCATTTAAGTTTTTAATAACGTCTTTCGGAAAACAATGTAATTTCAACCAATAAAAATACTTCAAAATTAATTAGGGTTGTCTAAATGGTAAAAAGGGGTGTCTTTTTAGCCAACCCCTTAATTTTTAATAGGATGTTCGTGTAATTTTGATTTTGCATCGTTTTTAGATCTTTTAGATCAATTAGATAATAGTTGTATTAGTTAATTATTGAAATTCGTTAGGCAAGTTATTTATACTATTTTGAGTGAAGGATAGTTTAGTAATTTCAAATTTTTGTTAGTGTCTGTTCTAGTATTACCAAACGATATATAAATAATTTGTTATGTCCAATATTATCCAGTTCAGACCAATCCTATCTAATAAATGCTTTGAAGTTTGAACGATGCCTTACCTGCATAAGATCCAAATATAAAGGGTTTGTTTTTAATGATTTGTGTTGTTTCACCAAATGGTTCTATTAAGATTTTGGGGTAATGACTTGAGAGGGTAAGATATTTTAGCTTTTGGTCACTAAATTATTTTTAGTGTTTTATTAACCCCTGAACTTGTTGAAACGTGTACATTATACAAGTTTGGTCGGGTATAGTGGGTTTTTGTCGGTTTCCGTCGTCTTTACCGGCAAACATGAGTTTTCCGGCCAAACATGAACTTTCCAGCGAAGTTCTTTTTATGGAAGAACAAACCTGAAACTTCCTTGAAAAAACACACACCATCTAAACTTAACTCCATTTCTAAAATTGTTTTTGCATCGTGAGTCCAATAAATTGAAACTCATATCAGTTTACCAAGGTTTTAAGAGATTTTCGAGTTTTGAAATTCAATGGTTTCAATGGTTTTTCAAGTTTTGAAGTTCAAGCTTTTCTGAGTTCAGTTGTGCTCATCGTGTGGGTAAACCCATATACACACACTGAATCGAAAATTGAAGCTGCATCTGTAACATAAATCAAAATTTTGATTCTAAACAAACGAAGAACAAACTCAAATATGGAAAACAAACCCATAACTTGTTATGGTGTTCATCGTGTGTGTGTGTATAACCCAGAAAAGCCCTAAACCAAGGTTTCCTTTTACTGAAAACCCCAAAATCGAATCTAAATCGATGGTTTCCTTCATTTACCAGAAAAATCAATGGGTTCTTCATATGCATGTTTATGTGGGAGAAGAACAATGAAGCCTCATATGGGTTCTCCAAAGGAAATTGATTGCAAGTGGGTTCTTGTTCTTCAAAATCGAATATGAATCTGAACAAACGAAATAAAGCTCCAAAAGAAGCTTTATTTCTGAAATCGTTTAGGGTTTTTTTTTGTTCTTGTTCAAAATATGAAATGAAGCTTGAAATCTATTTGTGTTCATGTTCTAGATCTTAGAACTCTACATAAGATAAGAAAGAGAGAAAAAAAAGAGAAACAAGAAATCTGAAAAATGTGTCAAGAACTCATCTCACCGAAAAATATATTTTTGCCCGGAAAAGATGTCCGAAAAATCCATACTTCGTTTGAAAAGATGTCGGAAAGCGAAAAAATCTTCTATTATTGGTCATAATATTATGTTTTAAACAAAAAGACAAGTTTAAGTGTTAATAGTGCACCAAAAATAGTTAAGTGACCAAATATGTATAATGAATATAGTTGGTTACCCTTCCAAATCATTATCCCTAGGAATCATTATCCCTAGGATAGGTTTTGAAATATGAATCCATGATCTCTGAATTGTTCAGTCGTTCACCGACCTCTGAATGGGCCAGCTCTAAGTTATATCTGAATGAAAAATAAGACGCTCGTGCCCCTTTGCCAACTCTCGCCGTCTGCTTTCCTTCTTCCTACGCCAAACACGCCAGCGACAACCACCTCCAGCACCGCCCTACGCCACCGCCGCCCTTCTCCCACCTTGACCCTCCGTCAGCGACACCCATCTCCAGCGCCACCATCGGTATTTTTCTCTTATACAGAAATCATTTTTTTTTTGCAGTAACACCCAGTTCCAGAAATCGATTATCTACTGAAACCTTCTTCTTTGTTTATCTTTATGAGAATCTGATGAAATTTGTGGGAATTACATGTTTCTACTATACTGTGTGTAACTCCCTTTTGGGACGTGAATCACAATTTCCTAATTGGTGTCATTGATTTGTTTATATCGAAAGGATAGGTTAGATTTGGACATATAATCACATATTTCACTTGAACTAAGCAATTTTCTTGGGATTAAGGGCGTACTCTAGATCATATTCGAACCCAGAAATAGTTCATCTTGATTTCATATTGTTTTCTAAGAAATTATTCATAATATAAGTATAATAGTTACTTTCAGATGGAAATCGACCAAGATGGACCAATATTGTATTGAATTCATCCAACACTTTGGTCAGTTTATCAAAGATTTATGCAGAAATTCAAGTTAGCTCTGATTAGATTGCCCCCAGCCTGTTGCTTTTATTACTCTTTTCCTGATCATGGTTCTTAATCAAGTAGAACTAAGCAACAAATATTTCTTAGATTTATTCCAACTTTATACATGATAAACAATTTGGAGAAAGAATCATATCACTTCATGAATGGCCTTTGTGAGTTTTATAAATAAAGATTTAATAACAGATATTGGTCATTGGTGTTGTTTATTTATATATGTATGAAAATAATCCTAATGTTGTCTTATAATTTTTGTGCCATATTTTTAAAAAAAAAAATTTGCTGCAGCATTATCCATATCATTAGAATAATATTTATGGTCAGTTTTTACTTTTTAGCTGAATAAAAGTAAAAAAATTAAAAAATTTCGTTGTAAACTAAGTGAAACAACATGCCCAGATTGTACCAATTTAATACACTGTAGAGCATACATTGATCTTATATGGTTTCATTTTCTCATCTCAACCCTTCACTGATAATAAATCTATAATTCGTTTTCTATTCAATCTGTGAGTTTTAACTGCAAATTATGAATATGGTTACCACCATCAATTAGATCACAAGTATTTTTTCCTTGATGTTTGGTGTATTTATAAATCAGGTTTTCGTGAAAATGGCAAAATCAAAGCAGAAGCAACCTCCAAACGACTTTGAGGAATGTGTACAAGATGGTTGGGTGATTGTCAAGAAGCAAAAAGTTACAATTTTGATCCCTCCATTACCCTTATTTACTCAACAATCCTCGATGCCTATTCCAGGTGGCAGTCCATTACAGCCAATAGCCATCCAAGAAGTTGATGATCATATTGCACCTTCACAGCCAGATCCACCCATGCCATTGCCATTGCCATTGCCATTGTCATTAGTCACCACAAAACCCATCACAACATTTTCCAACCCACGAAGGTTGATGAACCATAGGGGTAAATTAGTAAACTCACATTACAAGATCCCGAAACCAAAAAAATATTGTGGGAATTTGGTGAATGGGCACATGTTGGTGAATACAAAGATGAGGGCTTTGAATCTTGAGAGAAAGCTTAAGAGAGCAGGTGGGCTTAACAGTTGGCTTGTGTCTTTGGGACTCGGTCAATTTGTCAAGATTTTTAGGTGCAAACGTGTTGGCAAGATGCAATTGGTCAATCTCACCATGAAGAAGCTCAAAGATATGGGTGCAGTTGCAGTTGGACCTAGAAGAAAATTGATGCATGCTATTGATTGCCTTTGGTAAACTTCAATTTGCAAAATCAAGAACAAGGGTACAATTGGAACACATATCATTACTTATAGTATAGTTTTGTATGTAACTATGTATGATTAGTTTATTACTAATCTTGATATGATGTTTTAAGTAAATTAATATTTTATGGAACAGATGTCTTTCATATATTGTCTATTTGGAAGGCATAAAGGCCTAAAATGACCTCATGAATTTTAGAATCAAAAGATGGGAAGGAAAAGAAAAAGAAGAGGAAAGGATTGGTGTATGTGGGTTGCCAATTAGAGAGCGAGGCATCTTGATGAGGGCAATAGGGGAAAGAAAAAGTTGGAAGAATACAAAGGAGCAATCGCATAACAAGATTCGATTCATGAAATAAACAAATGTAAGAAGATATAAGAAAGTTGTAGTCATGGAACATAAATATGGTGGAGCACTATGAGTCAACATTCATTTGTCATTGTTTGCCTACACCACTTTTGGTTCATTATTAAGAGCATCTTTCATGATTGATATCATTCGTGTATTTTTCAATCTTTTTCAGGTGTGAAGCATGTTGCATCATGCATTGCATTTAAAGATAATGCTTTTCCAACTCACCCCCTTCATCCAAATCCATTTCCTTGTCTTTTTTTACTTTTTGTTACATAGTTTTTAATAATTAATTAATAGTTTGATATTGATCTTTTGTAAACTAAATTATTATATCATAATATTGCTGAAAATGTATGGAACAATCGGTTGCTATATGAATATTCATCATGCAAGAAACTATATCCATGTAGAAGTTGATATAAGCATCACTTAAAAGCATTGCTTAAAAGAGAAATCTTTAAAGTGGAAGTGAAAAAGAGAAATAATGGATTGATTCTTATTCGGGGAGAAAACATATAATACAAAATTCAAAAGATTGATAAAGAGAAATCAAAGGAAGTGTATTTTGTTTGGAAATGTAGTGTGACTAAGACCTTTCACCCACATTTCATTTTCCCTTTTATCTAATAATGTCAGTTGTTGTCATTAGAACATATACTATCAACCATGAGACAAGTTGCTAATAACTAATCATACTTTTTCTTAAAAAATTACATGTGACATCAACTTTGTTCTTCTTGACTCTTCTACTTGCCTCTTTTTTTTTTCTTATATTTTATGGTATTTGGTATGTTGGTTTCATCTATTATGATATTGAGTCAAAGCTTGTGGTTTAAAATATGTTAATGGAGTGTCTACCTATTTGAGCTTATTAAAGTTTGAAACTTATAGAGCTATACATGAAACTATGAAAGCCTAACAATTTCTTTTGAAAGAGAAAGCCTTTGAAAATTTCCGTTTCATAATACTTCTATTTCAAGTGATCAATATCAAACCTTGTTGATGGTTATGAAAATCTAACAGCTATTGAAGTGACTATAAATATTTTACAAAAAAGACAACAATATACTTCGTAAAGAAATTGAGGTAATCATGTTACCGGTTTGAACCGAGCGGTCGAACCGGTTGGACCAAGAACCGGGGAATAGAACGGCTCAATTAGCACCGGTATTATGCCTATTTCTGAACAGGAACAAACCAGCCGATTTTTACAAAAACCCAATTGAATTGGTTCAACTGAATAAAAAGACATGAAAATAAAGCATTTTGCATAAAAAAAACTTAGGTGTTGTTAATCGCACCTTATATAATTAAAGTCAAATTACCAACATAATTATTACCTACAAAGAAACATTAAAACCATAAAATACATTGCTCGTCCTTTAATTATATATTAACTGTAACATCCTAAAATTTAATACCAAAAATTTCATTTTTAGTTTAATAATTCATAAAACCAACGGTATAAAAGCATCCCATGTCAAAACCAAAGCGTCAATAATCAAAACATGTTATCATAAAACAATATCAGAGTGTAATCCCAAAGATCTCATGTGCGGAAAACATAGTGTGATGCGTTGCGATCGAGCCGACTCCATTCCTTTGAAAATGAAGTACCTGAAACCAAAACTGAAAACCGTAAGCACGAAGCTTAGTGAGTTCCCCCATCATACCACATACCATATACACATAATGCCTATCCCTCAGTATCTTTCAACCGGTATCTGACTGGCATAACTGGAAGCTGGACTCCCCTTCGGTATCTTTCAACCGGTAACCGGGAGCTGGCCTCCCCTTCGGTATCTTTCAACCGGTAACCGGGAGCTGGACTCCCCTTCGGTATCTTTCAACCGGTAACTGCCTTCGGTATCTTTCAAACGGTAACCGGAGACTATTTCACCCCTACCACTACCACATAATATCCTAGCATAAACACATATATCACCTACTGCCTAGTATATCTGGGAGCTGGCATCCCATTCGATATCTTTCAACCGGTAACTGCCTTCGGTATCTTTCAACTAGTAACCGGGGACTATTTCACTCCTACCACTACCACATAGTAACATATCATACTAACACATAAACATAACAAATAGTGGCATACCAGACAATTATCACAAAGAAAATCATCTAACAAACATCTCCTACTAGTGGGTCGGCATTGTGGCCTTAGACCCACTTCTACTGGAAGGTAACTCACCTCGTACTGCTAAAGTCCCGCAGACAAAAACCCTGGCTGCTGGATGACAGATTCCCGAACTGTCAACATCAAAACAATACCCAATTAATAATTGGGTTCCAACATATATCCATAAGTCCATGTTTGGGGTAAAAGACTACTTCACCCCTAACTTAGCTTTATTCAAGCCCAAGGCCTAATACAAAGGCCCAAAAGTCAAACTATGAACCAAAGCCCAACATATGGCCCAATTTTCCAAATTGGGCCCAAACCTTTACATGGTCTTACCCTAAGGCCAAACCATTTATTCTAGTCCAACATTGGTATTCCAACGGCCCAACATCTTAAAATCCTCAAGGCCCAGTTATGGCCCATCTATGGCCCAATTTTCCAAATTGGGCCCAAACCCCTCACATGGGCCTTACCCTAAATCCCATCCAAATATTCCAATCCATATGATTGTTATTGGATGGCCCATCGATAGCCCAATAACCAAAGCCCAATAGAAAGGCCCAAGCAAAATTAGAGTTTTCACAAAAAATGACGATTAGGGTTAAGTGTTTCTTACTTAACTCATTAAGGACTTAATCCATTAAGTCCATTACTCCACTAGATAAATCATATAGTATGATCGGGTGTAATTCACAATTCAATTCCAATGGCCCAAAACGCGAGTCTTGATAAGTCAAAACCAATAAATCCAAAATTAGGGTTTTCTAAACCCTAATTAGGGTTTCCAACCCAATCGCGATCCAATTAGCCCATTTGTTAAGTTTTTAGGTTAATTAATTAATAATTAAGTTGGGCACCACCCACTACCACCTCGGGTAGTGGTGGTCAATGGCGGCTCACGGCGGCGGCCACCACCTCACGATGGTGGTGACGAATTTTCCTTAATTATTCCAATCGAAATACAATGGTACAACGCAGTATCCAAATAAACGCACACACACAAATAACACATACATACACACACACCCAGCCACCCTTGTGGCGGCAGACGGTGCTTGGAGGTGGCAGCCACCACCTCACGGTGGTGGTGGTGGCTTTTCCAAGAACTTCGGCCAAACAAAGCACACACACATGCTTCCTATTCGCAACAAAATCCAGCCACCCACCTGGTGGCGTAATGCGCGGCGGTAGAGAGTGGCAGCCACCACCTCATGGTGGTGGCGGTGGGGTTTTTCTTCGGATCTCCTGTCAAGAAACATTCATGTAGCCCTAAACCATCACAACACGCGCACAAACACCATAACATGCACACAGCCACCTCTCACGGTGGCTGGTGGCAGTAGAAAAGGGGTAGCATGGCGGCAGCAGCACTAGCGGCAACAGTTGTGGCTAAAGGCGGCGAAACTTCACCACGTCAATAGCTACCTAGAAGCCTGACAAATAGAAGCTTTCGGGTTGAAGTTCTTCTAACACAAATCCCGGTTTTCGCTAGAAACTCTTTGTAAGGTAGGATACACTTACTAGGCTCTTAAGTGTAACTTATACTTATTTTCATAGTCGTTGTTATGAATGTATAAATAAGATTTATCAGTGATTCCAGTCATAATGTTGATTGGTCTAATTAGGAGAGAGGTGTCTAGAATGGTCACGTTGGCTTGGTTGTTGGATTTCAGAAAGTCTACGCCAAAATGATCCTGCCTTACAACTGCTCGGCTTGGTTGCTCCTTATTTGATAGAACTCTCAATATCCATTGGGATTAATGAAATATCTAGCTTTCATTACCAGATTATCATAGAGATTAATAAGTTATAGTATTATAGGTTAATACTCATTAGGCGCGATGCCTGCCAGTGGGATTGCCCAGAAAGCTATTAATCTTTTGAGAAAATATCCAGGTGAGTTATCTCACTATACTATATGTTACAATACATATATATATATATATATATATATATATATATATATATATACATGTATGTTAGGACATAGGATCTAGTAGAGTATAGCCGATAGTATAAGCTTCTATGTGCTTGTATCAATAGAACTTAAGGTGTAGTCTCTATGTATGGTTATGTATGTCAGGTGGGGCCCGTTATGTATGTTGGGCGGGGGCCATTAAGTAGTTTGGGAGGGGGGTTTGTATGCATGTATATGTATTGTAGTATATGGTATTTTGAGGAACTCACTAAGCCTCGTGCTTACCCAGTTGAATAAAAATGTTTTTCATGTAATTCAGTGATTCGTGAGAAGGGCAAGGTTTGAATGTAGACACACGCATTCGCAACATGTTTCTGCATAACGTAATCATACTATGATATATTTTAATAAATAAAAGTGAAAAAATGGCCTTGCAAATTAGGACGTAATAAGTTGGTATACGAGTCCTAGTTTGAGTGAACTGGATGAACATTCGTGATTCCAGACTCAATGTTGGGTCATTTATGGTGTTGTGTCAACATTGATTATGCATGTATTTAGTCTTTATTGTTATCAGATTGGGCCTGTCAATCCGCATTTATGCAGCTAGGTTTAGACTATAAATATAGCATGCAAATATCGTATTAGGGTTAATTGACACACCCCCAAACCGAGATGACGGAAACATTCGGGGGCGAAGGACGTCATGTACAGTATCATAACAATGCACAATAGTAAAACAAGCAACAACATCCATTGCATTAATAGAATAGTTAATACATGTGTGTTCTGAGTATAGTTGTAAGACACCAAAAATATATATATATCAAAATAAAAGACGAGTCTTGAACATGCTCTGTCTTCTCAAAAACCTAATCCAGTGTACCTGTCTACTGGTTCCCTGAGAATACAAGTTATTTTGATAGAGAGTATCAACATTTAAGTTGGTGAGTTCATAAGTATTTATTGTCAAGTGTTTGTATTTGTTTCAAGAAAATGTTTGTGTTTGTTTAGTAAAATG